GTGTCACAAGTGCGGCCTTGACACTCCCAACATTCAAAGTGGTGTACATCTCAGCACTCTTCGCATAACGAAGAAGAACACTTTCTGTCTTCAACACTTCAATTTCAACACGGAAGTTCTTTGAATCAAACAGTGAGACGAGAACGGGTGATATAGCTGCACTGAATGAATCAACGCCATTGATCTTGACGATGTTGCGAAGACACTCACACATCGTACTTAACAATTCAACATGACTGTTTGCACTGTTCAAGAGTGTTACAATCACACCTTCAAGTGTATTAACATGTGGGACAAGTGCGGCACCATCAAAGACAGCGATCTCTTTCACTATGTTGAAACACTCCATCTTGCTCTTCTCAGTCGACTTCTTTCCTTTCAAAATGCTCTCAATCTGTGGAATTGCACCACTCACACTTTCTCTAACTTTCTCAACACACTGACACACACCACTGTTGACCGTTTTTAACACAAGACTGTACACCCCAAGCACTATGTTCAACACAATCTCAACGGATTCTTTGAAGCGCTTTAACACAACACTCAGTGCTTCACTCACTACTTCACAAAACATGTCACTTCGTTCTTTCACAAGACTAACAAGACAATCACCTGATAGTTTTCTCAATTTCCATGTGATGTCGTCTTCATCTTCAAACACTTCCTCGTCGTCTTCTTCCTCTTCCATTGCATTGGCGTCGTCTTCTTCTTCATCATCATCAAATCTGTTTGGATCATATTGCAAAAACTGGACAACGTATTTCAGTATTTCCTTTGCAACTTCATTGCTCAACTGATTGGGGCAGTTCACAATGAACAAGTTGAATGCATTCAATATCGCCTCTTTCAAGTCATCTTCACTGTCATCTTCAACAGCAGTAAACTTGACTCGTAACAACTCAAAACACGTTGTCAAGTACTTCCCACACTTCTCTTTGCTCACCGATGCGATTGTACTGTACAAAAGGACATACACTTTACTCTGTTCTTTGTTTGTGCTCTTCTTCATAGCTTCAAATGATGGAACAATGATCTCTTCCATCTGTGTGTCATTGGCATATTTACTCAACTGTGCAAGGCACTGCACTGTACGTCGTCTATTTGCAAACACGCCCTCTGACAAGAATGGAGTCAACGTCTTCACAACACGACTGACGTCAAGTGTCGCTCCTATTTGTCTGATGATCACTTCTAACACATCCAAATTGAATCCAATGGAAATGTCACTCAACTCCGCAAGTGGCGTCTTAAAGAAGTTCAAGAGAGGCACAGAGAAGTTGTCTGTCAACACCAATTTGAACTCTTTGTTGATGACTATAATCTTAATCGTTCGCTTGATGACTTCTAAAGCAACATCTCTGTTCACATCCAACGCCTTCTTCGCATCTAACAGCATCGTCTTTAACTTCTCGACTAAACTCTTCACAGCACTCACTGATGTCACAAATGGCATAAAAGAACTCAAACACTTGATCGTGATGTCTTTCACGTCATTCGCTTCATCAGTCAATAACGTCAACAAGCCACTCATGATTTCTCGTTGCTCGTTATCTATAAACTTCTTCCCTTTCATCTTCCCAAGACTGACATTCAAATCGGAAGTCGCCATGTACCGAAGATCAGGGTCTGGGTTCTTCATCTTCTCAAAGGTCTGACTCAAGTCTAATGCCTCACTACGCGAACTCATCTTTTTCTGAATTTTAAAGTTCGTTGTCCTCTTACCTAAGCCTCTCATACCTCAATCTCGTTACAATCTCATATCATCTCTCTATCGCATTTTTTAATCTTCTTTTTTTATTTCTATTTTATTATTTAATACATCGGGAATGTTTGAATCATTTTTCTTTTAATTCAATTAACTTTGTGTTTTATTGTTTTTTATTTGGATTTTTTTTGTGTTATAAAGGTATTGTTTATTATTGGTTTATTTTTGTGGTTTTTTGTTAATATAAACGGGAAAATTTGCTACTTTTTTCTTTTGATATACTACCATCTTTTTTATTCATTTTGTACTTGGTTAATTTATATTTAATTAATCGGGTCATTTTATTGATTTTATTTTACTATTTGAATGGATTATATATTATATTATTTATAGTTTTTTTAATTAAATAAATTTATAATTAATTTATAGTTGATTTATAGTTGATTTATAGTTAATTTATAGTTACTTATCTTCTTCATCAAGTAGTTCGCGCATCTTACTTATCCGCTTGTTGATGAGTCCCTCCGTCTTTTCAATAAACGTGTTGTTGTTTGTATTAAAACTCAATAAAAGTGAAAAAAAATTTGTATTTACTTTTTTTTTAATTTATTTTATCAAAACATCAAATAATTATATAATAAATAATTCTCAGATCGTTTTTAAATAGAAAAAAAACGAAAAACACATATGACCAAACAACATCTTCAACTGACAAACAAACAAAAGTGATGAGCAGCCCAACAAACAAACCTTTGTTGAATCATGGCCCAATCAAAAAAAAGACTGGTTTTTATGGAAGCATTGTTTCGAACACACTTCAGCACCAAGAAACTATATCTGAGGACACCATGCGTAATCTAACTTTCAAACTACAACAGAAAGACGCACGGATAAGGGAGTTGGAGATGTATGGCGTTGAGAAGAATGAACTTCTCCGACAACGTGAAATGCTTAATTCCGACAAGAAGAAGTTCCAAGCAGAGCTCTCGGCATTCCAAAGTGAAAAGGCTGCCAAAAGTCAGATGGAATTCCAGCAAAATTCCACCATTAAATGTTCCGTCGTTCCGCCAGAAGATGGGAGATTTGAGCAGGAACTTAAAATAAAAAATGATGAAATTGAGGAACTCAAGCTCAATTCTCAAAGAAAAGTCGCCGAAGTGTTGACTGAACTAGAAAATATTAAGAAGGAACTACAATCCGAAAAAACGAAAATTTTGGACTTGGAAAACACAAATCAATCCCAAAACAAACAACTATCGGATATCCTCGAACAAAACGAAAAATTGAACTCAAAAATAACAGATTTAACATGCCAGAACGAGGGCATTGAAAAAGAAAAAGAAGACAGTGTTGAAAAACAAAAAGAACTCGAAAATAAAATTTTAAGACTCGAAACAACAATCTCGGAAATGGAAAAATCAAACAATATAAATGTTGAGTCAATGAATAACGTTCGTTTGGACCAAATCAAGGCAGAAATTTCCGAAGAAATATCGAAACGCGAAAAACTTGAATCTGAAAATTTGAATCTTAAAGCCGAAATTGATCAACTCAAAACACAAAACGAAAATCTCCAAACCGAAAAAGCACGAACGGAAAACGATGACGTGGACGTTCGGGTAAGGGAACTTGAAATTAAAATCGATGAGAGAGAAAAAGAGATTGTTCGTCTTGAAGAAATGAACCAAAAATTGCAAAAATATTGTGTTGACGTGAACAAAGAAATTCAGAAAAACGAGAGGTCGGCAGAACGAAAAATTGAGGAATTTCTTCAAAAGGAAAAAGAGAAGAGAAATGAAAATGAAAAGACAATTTTAGAGATGCGAAACGAGATTGAGTCGCGGCGGAACGATGGAGCTTTTATGGCTCAAAAAAGACAAGCAATTATTTCATCATATGAGAAGCGACTTGAAATTCTCAGAGAGAAGGGGAGAGAACAGGAACAACTTAAGACTGCACTTCTTCTTGGAGAGAAGGAGGAGCTTGGTGGTGTAAAGGACAATGTATTGAAGATGATGATATCTGCGATCATCGTCGCACTCAAAATGGCAAACCCGAAGTACGAAGCGACGAAAGAGACTGTTGTGTCGCTGTTTAATAAGATCCAAGAGGAAAGAATTGATGTGATGGAATGGCCGAGTTATGTCCAGGCGTTTTTTGAAAAGGAAATTGAATAAAGAAGTCAGTGTTTTTTAACGTTGGGTTTTCGTTGGGCGAGGAACGAAAAGCGCACTAATAAAAAGAATTATTTGTTCAATAAATTATTTAATGAGGTTGTTGGGAAGAACATGTTTGTTGTTCGCTGCTGGTCGTTGGTTTTGGGAGTTTTACGCTCTTGGTCAGAAACACATATTGTTTGTGTTTACAATGGGAACACTCAAGCACAACACACGGCTTTTTATTCCTTCTGACGACTCTCTTCTTCGAGAAGACATGTGGTGTCCAACACCTCCTGCAAAACCTAATTCTCCACGTTGGTGTCAACGATTTCAATGTTTTGTGGAGCATATCGCGAATAGCAAGTCCGCAGTGTTGTCCAGTGACGGGGTGAAACTCGGCCATCAGAGACGATATTTTGAGGAGGTAGTCGATTCTCTCTTTTTGAAACATCGCGTCTTTCTTCGTCTGTTTTGCCTTCGGCATATGTAGTAACTCACTTGTGAGTTTTCCGTTTCCAAACACGTTTGATTTGATTTTATTCTAATTTAAAATACAATTAATAATAGTATTTAACATCAATACTATTATTAATGGTATTATTTAATTCAACACTAGAATTCAACCATACCAAAGAACAAACTAAAAATATATTAAAATTATAGAAATTGTCCACCAATGCAGTAACACAAAAATTAGTAATTAAACAGCAAGACAATCTCTCGAGATCTTACTCCTCTGGATTCTGTAAGTCTTTAATAACCGCTTCGACCCTTTCTTGAACCTCGAAGAGTGCTCTTTTGAGTTTAGTGAAAGCGTTGTCGAATTGGCCATACATCATGTTGCCTGGGAATTTCCTCAAAAAGATGTGAAGTGCCTTATCCACGTTACTCGAGATGTCAGTTTGCAACTGCCACATATCGTCGATCTGCTCGATGAGGAATTCATTGATCTTATCGCCAAGGAACAATTCGACCATTTCGACCGGGCCGCTTTTACTTAAGAGCACCTTCTCGAGGTTTGTTATTAACTCCTCTGTAATGGGGGGATTGATTGCTTTGATCAAGTTCGAATTCATCTCATCCAAGTCGTCCAAACACGTTTCGATGGGACTCATGTACACGTCGGACGCTTTATTAAACACGATTTGGCGTCGAAGGATGGAGGGGAGGGGCTGTGCCGTTTCGAAGATGATCCGCCTCTTACAATCGTTTTCCATCTTCCCGTTGCCGACGATCATCTCTTGTTTGAATTTCTTTGTAGTGAAGTCGCCTTCATTCTCGTAGATGGGGAAGACCTCAACAACTTTGATGTGAATTTGACTGTAGTCCAAGCCGATTGTATTCTTCGACGCATCTAACTCGATGATTTCCTTCTTCTTGTCTAACGGGACTATCGCTTTAATCTCTTGTTTAAAGATTTCTAAGGTGTCGTGGGTGTGGTAGATATACACTTTCTCGTTGTTGCTCCCAAAGATGTTCCCATAAAACCCGACCAAGTAGAAGTGCATCTCCCCTTGCGAGTTCTGACTCTTCCGTTGGTACACTTCATTCAATTTGGAATAGATCTCGGGGAGTCGTGTGGTGTCATTACTCCGCACAAGAAAGTCAACTGTCACTTGGAGAAGAAACTCCGCAAAGTCGGTGGTGTTCTTCAGTAAGAAATTCTTCACTGCCGCATTCACATATTTCAGCAGTGAAACCGTCGAAAACCCCTCCACCTCTAAAAAGTCCTTTTTCACGCTTTTCTGCTCTATTTTAAAGTCAACTGAGATGTCTTGCAGCTTGTCGAAGATCTCGCCGTTCTTTACAAAGCGAGAGATCATGTAAATGATATGTGTCCCACATAACCCGGCCTCAAGGTAATGTTGTCTGACACTATGCTCCTCACTGATCTTCTCTATCCACTTCAAATAGAGTCTTGGGGTATCAAGATACCCTTGTGAGAATGTATAGAGTCGATCCGCATATGCGTCGGGGTCTCTCGTCTTTTGTTGCAGCTCATTCAGCTCCTCGTGTTTAATTAAAATGTTTTTGATCTCGTGCTTGAACTTTTGCATGTACGTCCGATATTCCATCATCTCGTAGAGACTCACATTGACAAAGGAGTCGTGGACAAATGCCCCACACATGACGTAATCTTCGAGTACTTGCATTTCAATGTCGGGAAGTTTGATCTTCATCTTCTCCTTCGACTTCTCCTTAGTCTCTTTAAACTCCTGTGTTATTCGTTCTCTCGTGTCTTTGATTTTTTTCACGTCTTTAAGCGCAACCTTTTCAGACGACGCTGAGTCTTTTTTCTTATGTTTTGTGTTTGATGTTAACGTGTATGGAAGTATCGTCTTGTGTATATCAAACTCCTCCAATTTCTTTGTAAGGCCTTTTGTAGAGAACCCACGTCTTCTCTTCTGTTGATCCTTTTGTGAAGGGTCTGGAGTGACATTGAAGTTTTGAAGGAAGTCTTCGTTTGGTAGAGGAAGTCCCGTCTGTGATCGTGACATCGTCTTTTTGTGATTCTTTTCAATTAATTTGTCTGTATCGGAAGACTTAGAGTTGTGTGACAGTTTCCCTGTTGACAGTTCTGTTGGTTGATTGCTTGAGTTACTCACTTGACTTTCCTCTACACTCATTTGCTTCTTATGTGACACTTTATCACTGGAATTGAGTTGTTCAGTTTGTACTTTCATTAAAGACGATGAAGAAGTTGTAGAATTTCCATTCGAATTTCTCTTTGAATTTTCTGTGTCATCGATAGTTGAAGGATTTGGGTTAGAAGAAGCCAACGGAGGTGTCTTTGAACGCGATTTTTGAATGTCTTCTTCTTTTTTTAATGGTGTCGAACACTTCTGTGACTTCGAAGTCTCTTCGATTTTCAAACTTTTCCGTTTCTTCTCTTTGGAGCTCTTCTGTTTCTTTTCAGTTTGAATGCCAGCCCGCTTTTCAATGCTTTTGACTTTTTCTTTTTCCTCCAAATCGTCCTTCTCACCTTCTTTTGTGTCATTTGGTTGTTCGTTGTCTTTTGTATCATCGATAATCGTTATGTCATCGGTATAACAAATCTCCTCATCAACTTCCTTCTTTAATACTTCTTTCAATTCGCTCCACTTCCCCTCTTTGTTCCTTTGTATATTCTCCCAAATGCCTTTCGCTTTCACAACCCACTGCTTCTTATCATCTTCAAGCTCTACACACTTCTTCCACTGCTCCACTATCCCTTTAAATATTACATTCGAGTTTTTAACACTCTTCCCAAGCTCATCCAACATCTTTGATATGAATTCATTTTCACCTTCTACACACCCAAACACTAACTCTCTCCCTTCATTTTGAATGGCCACAGTCATCCGCCGCGTTTTCTCGTTGAGCATTAAACTCTTTCGGACGGTCCGCCGCTTAAGGACGGAACTCTTGTAACTCAATTGCTCTTCGTATGATATCCGAAGCGCAGTCCGCATGTTAACAGAGTGATTGTACACCTTTTCAAGCTCGCCGCGAGACACTAAAGTATCGCAAATGATTTTCATGTACTCGCAAATAATCCCCCCCTCACGCGTCGGTACCTTTGTTAACGTGTCGATTGTTTTCATCTTCTCATTTAAGAGCAAAACGCTTGTTAAATAGACGCGTTCGTTGTTGTACCACTCCTCCGCGCTCTCAAGTCGTTGTTTGTTACTCCCCGTTTTCTCCGCTATTTTGTCGATTTTCGAAAGGATCGAAACTATCTGTGGAACAAGCACTTCAAAATAGTGGAACACACCGCAGTAACAATCCTTTACTTTCTCTTGTTTGATTGTAGTCAAATTTAAATTCAAATCTCGTAGCTCGCGCAGTTTCGTTGGATCATTCGAGGCGTGTGTCGAAGAAAAGATTTGATTGTAATTCTCTTTAAAACATCTCAAGGTCTTTGTGTTCTCTTCTGAGACTTTTTGTTCCTCAGAAGATACCACAGCGCTTTTATCCATCACTTTCTTGGCAACGTCAGAATAACTTGCTTCAAGTTCAATAACAGCGTTGATGATGTCTGAGTACTCTTGCATTGTGACGGGGAAGATCGGGTTAGTGTCGACGACGTTCATGAATTTCTCATATCGCGAGAGATACCCTTTCATCTCCTTTTCGACGTCCTCTTTCTCTTTGACAATGTACAAATAATGAATATCACTCGACCAATTTTCATGCGACAACATACTGTTTGCAAGTTGCATAACACGATTGATCCCTTTAATGCACTCATTCTTCATGTTATTACATATCTCAGCAGTCTTATTTTCTTCCTTCTTATTCTCTTCAGAAATACTCAACAGCCGCGTTTCAAGGCTTTTCGTCTCCTTCCACGTCTTCTTCATTTTGTCGATCGACTTCCGTATATCACAGAAGATGTCCATGTCCTTATACAAATCGGCCTTTTGTTCGATCGTAGTGATCATCTCCTCCGTTATCAGAAATTTGTCCTTCACAATGTCGTCGATCATTCGGGAGTACCGATTCACTAAACTAATTTTCATCCCCTCTATATAATGAAGACTCGAAAGTCGCGTTTCTATCAACTGAGTGATAATAACACAGAGCCCCTCGATATCCCCAAGGGTCTCCGCTCTGTAAATGGTTCTTCGTGATTTGAGTACATCAAGTTGCGGTACGAGTGTGACTCGTTTAATATGAATAACACTTTGTATGACATTTTTCAACTCATTTTGGTACATCTTATCGAGCGCCTCTATGCTCCACGCAAACAAGACGTTTTGAATATCAACGGCCTCAACAACAGCGGTGGTCATCAATGAAATACTTCGAGTGATATTCCCGCACTGAATGAAATTGTTTTTGGTGTACAAACAGAGTAACTCCACCCCTCTTTCTCGAATTTGTGCATTCTCGCTTTGGAAGATTTTAATCAGTGATATAAATAAGTTGTCAGTGAACTCTTCGTGACTGTCAAATATCGTCTTTCTGAATTTTTGAAGTAACTGCTTTGCAAAATAGAAGATGTCTTCGTTGACCACACCAACTTCAAAGAGTTTTGTTGCTATGCCACACTTCAATTTCTCAAGTTGTTCGAACGCCTCTTGCTCACTCAAACTGTGGAACACCAAATTCAAGCACTCGAGGCACACACGTACGATTTCCTCTGTCAACACACTGTGAAGCTTTTGATGGGACACATCGTCGATTCGCATTGGGCGCAATGAACGACTCAAAGGGATCTCAAAGTTCTTTTTAACGTTCATTGCGTTCATCATGTCCTCCATCATACTGTTTAATTTGATATTGATATAGTACCCATGTTCTTTCAATCCATTAACAATTAATTTGATATTTCTGTCGATCTCTTCATACACGTCGATCGTCTCTTGCAGTGGGAAATATCGAAACAACAAAATGTGTCGAAAGAGAACAGTTGAGAGGGTTTCCAGTCGCGTGGGGACTTCGTTCATGATCCACTCCTTCAGTACGTTCTTGTCCATGTTCTTTAATACCCACGAAAAGATCAATCCAAGCATTTCAATATCTGTCACATTTTGAAGAGGTGTCCCATCACATGTATTCTCTTTACTCGACAATTTCAGTGCATCGGACGTCATAATCTTTTTAAAGTCTTGAACTGAATTGAATCGCAGACTTAAACTCTTGTCGACTTTCTTCTCCGCAACTTTGGTCTTCGCTGCGACATATTTCCACGAGACAAAATCATCAAACTTTTCAAGAAACTGGACAACAAATGGAAGGAACATTGCAGCGCAATTCGACTTCTCTTCTTGAAGATTTTTGTCAAGGTCAAGTCGGGACACCAACGCAACCATCAAGTACAAACTAATACGATTGATCTCTTCACTTTTCATTAATAAAATCAAATGTTGTCGCATCAAATACGCTATGGGTAAGTGTCTCACCCACAACAAATCATCCAACATAGTAATGTCACTCACCTTCACATTCCCGGGATTACTCGCAGCATACAAATTTAAACTCCCTTCAAACACGCCAAGAAACTCACTCTTTATCATCCCAAGCGCTTCCATCTCTGGTGACTTCTCAGAGTATTTGTACCCACTTTTAAGCGCGTCGTACGGCGATGTCAAATTGTCTAAATACTCCTCCATCATTTTAAGGCCTTCAGCACGGTACCCCGACTCAATGACTGAACGAACAAAATAGGAGAAGTGTGCGTTGCCCTCCTCCATACCTAATATCTCCTTTTTCATCACATGGCTTCGGATGGTGTTTCCAAAATTCGACGAAAACGTGATGGCGTTAGTCCAGAAGTTTTGGTCCGCACCAACTTGCTTTATTGACGCAAGCAGAAGCGAGAATGGAAGCCAGCAATGCTTGAAGACGTCGATCTGCGCAGATGTGTCATCGAATTTGTATGTTAAATATAACGCCTTGATTAAATTCAAAGCAACGTCCTTCGACGAGAAGGTGTAGTACTTCGTCACATACAACTCAACGTTTTTGTTGCGCTTTTCTGACGACGAGCAGTACCCACATACCGTTTTCATTAAGGTCTCAAGAACAGAACGATTCTTCACTACACTTGACTCCAAGTACGACTTCATTATAAGAGGAAGAAAGTGAATCAAATCGATCAGTGGAATTTTACTGAAATTTTCGTCGACAGTGCCATTCAGTAATTTGACAAGTTCTTTATGTGACGTTTTCGTTGTTGGGTACACCCCACTCAATACGTACAAGTCGATTATTATCGAGAATTTTAAAACGTCTTCGTTTGTGAGTGCTCCTTCAAGTGTTTGCGAGAGGGGGAGGGTGAGCTTTCCACTCTCTATTTCAAGAGAATCCGTGTAGAGTAGCAGTGACGCAAACCATTCCTTTTTTAATATGCCTTCGTGTAACTCCATCACATTAAATATCAGCCGGTCATTGTTCGTTAAAGGAAATGGCAACTCCACTTTCATTTCATCGAAGAATAAAGAACATTTCCCCTGTATAATGTTTGAGTCGTAATATTCAGCAACAGTGTTTCTATCGCTTTGATACACACATTTCAGTTTCTCGTTATTGCGCATCAAGAACAATCGCACTATTATCGGGTTCTTCCTCTTCTTGTCTTTTCCAAAGGAGACATCGACGATATTCACAAAGAGTCTGTTCGTGTATTCACACACCACATTTTCATAGTATTTAATACTCCTCATGTTGTCAAGTAACAACTCCGTTTTCCCATCTTTCTCTTCTTTTCCTCTCACTCGAAACACACCGCTTTGATACGAATACTCCTCTGAGGTTTTCTCAAACCAAAACTTCATAGAAACGTCCGCCGTCTTTCTTGTTTCTTTCATATTAACCAAGTCGTAAAGAGTTTCACTGTCATTCTCCGGTTTGTAAAATGGAATCTCAAGCTCCCCACTCTCCATCTCAAAAACCCCTTTTAATGATACAAAACCAGCAAGTAGAAACTGCCAGTTGTCCCACCCCTTTCTCTCCGAATACTTCTTCCGCGCTTTTTTATCGTCAAAGCCGTGAAAGTACATTTCGCGCGCACTTGAGATGTCGTCGCCGCCTTTTCTATACACTTTGACATACAACACAATTGGACTGTTCTCGAGTTCTTTCGAATAAAAATGCATGACGGCACTCTCCAGATTCACGTGTTGTGTTTTGTCGAGTTTATCAATTTTCGTGAGCGACAGGGTCTTCGACTGATTTGAAGTCTTCGACGTTTTCGATCGAAAAGACGTCTTAGAATAACTCGAAAAGCTCTTCTCCGACTTCTCGAGCTTCTCCGAGTGTTTCTCCGACGATTTTTCTGGTGTTTTTTCATTCATTTTACCAATTTGACTCTCTTCAATAATGTCGGACTTTTCAATTTGAGTTGATTGAGTCGATTTGTCATATCCCTCGCCAGTCTCGTGTTGTAAATCGGTTTTTGCCATCTTTTTATTCTCCTCCTCTTTTTTAATTTCGTTATCCGATTCAATAGAAAAGTCCTCTGTCAGTTTCTCCTGCAAATTGATGTCGTAGACTGCGACAACGATCTTCAAATTCTCTGGTGGGGACTCCCCGCCAACTAAAATGTTTTTAATTCCGACTTTTTGAAAGACTTGCTTTTGTGTATTTAAAGTAGTGGCGCTCCGGACTCCCGCAAGCGTCACCGCCAAATCTTTGTATTGAAACAGTGGTGTAAATAACTCGAACAACAACTTTGGTCGTTCGCCCTCACTCTTTCTCCTCAATAGTGTTGTTAGACTTCTTTTTTTAATTGTTTGTGTGTATTGGTCTGAGTCGAAATAGTGTGTGTGTACCACCGACTCCCAGCTCGGTGTTTTTTCAATGACTTTTCCCTGAGCAAAGAGCATAGTTTTGAATGCGGTGTGGTATTTGTCTGTTGCTTGTAGTGTATATTTCGACACGTTGATTCGCGTAGTTGCGTTCTCGTGCTTTGAAAGTAGTACCACTGGCGTATCATACAATAATGAGTAGTTGTGGAACAACGAAGACTGTTGTGACATGGCTATAAGGCGATCTAAATTGTCATTCAAGTACTTCACTAATATGTTAAACTCATTTCGCTGCACACAATACGGTTTGCTCAGATTCAATTCATTCAAAATCTGCCGAACATCCTTCTCTAATAAGTACACGGACTTCTTGTCCGACGCAGAGAGCTCAAAGTAATGTCGGATTTGATAGATGTCCAATTCATCTCTCCCCTCCGTGTCGAGGGAGTTAAAAGTCAAGTCCGCGCTAACAGCGGTTGTCTTCTTAGCTTGTTTCACAATCACTTTAGGCGCTTGCGTGGGTTCCGTGTGGGTTTGGATACCCAAAATCTCAACAAGCTTCTCAAGACCAGTATGTGTTGCCACCTCCATCACCCCACTGATTGTGTTTATTGGTTTGAAAGACTCTCGGTAAAACTATAGTTTACTTTATAATTATTTTATCTATTGATTATAATTATCTTTTTGGATTCTCAATATTACAATCTTTTGCTCTCTCAATTGGGTAATCCGCTTTTTCTTAATTCACTCGGTTTTATTTCTTGATAACTATTCGGTTATTATTGTTGTAGTATTTTTTGTTATTATTTGTTATCATTTAACTCCTCACTTTCCTAAAAAAGGTGCTGGATTTTATTCTATTTTGTTTCTAAAAAATAATCTCTTTTTGGACACATTGAGTTAAAATAATCATAAAAAAAAGTTTTATTTCATCAAATAAACTATTATTTTAATTGTTTTTTAGTTCAATTATAATAATAACAATAAGTTATTATTTTATTTTTATTTTATTTCTTCGAATTGTTACTGTGTTAATAATTTTGTTAATAAATTTATTATAATGATATGAATCAAAATAATTAAAATACAATTATAATAATAGTATTATATATAATAGTAATTATTAAAAAAATAGTAAAAAAAGCAAAAACAATATAATATATTTTATAATATTCTTTTAAAATTAATAATTATTGTTTAACACTAATTAAAATTATAATTTATTAACTATATTAAAATGATATAAATAATAGCTAAAATAAACTATAATATCAACCAAATAAATTCCATATAATATACAAAACTGTACCAAACTATTCAACATTAAATAACACCCAAGTTTTTAGATTAACCTTTTAAAAGGGATATATTGAAATGTTTTAATTATTTTTATTATTATTTTTAATTATTATTATTTCCTTTTTAGCTTGTGTAATGTTATGCACACGACAAACTTTTAAAAACGGGAAAAATATTAAATAAACTTGAAATTTCCCGATTTTTAGACCACTTGAATTTAGTTCAATGGTATTTGTAATGTTTAAATCAATATAAAAAATGTGTTTTGAACAAAATATTATTAAACTATATTATAATTAATAAAAAACTATATTATAATTAATATAAAACCATACAAGAACTTTCAAGGAAAAAGAGGCAAACGAACAGAGAAAGAGATTTGACTCCAGATGTCTCTTGATACTTTTGACAATGTATTTAAAGCCATAGACACGAGTGGTGACGGGAAGATTCAACGAGAAGAATTTGTAATTGGGATGAGGAACTTAACGAACACGACGGGGGACTTTGACGAAGACTTTGAGTTGATTTTTGATATGGTTGATGGGTCGGTCTGTTTCTCGATGAAAGACGGCAAACTTGGGAAGCGCGAATTCCGAAAGATCTACGACTCGTTTCCAAAACCATTTCCGACAGACAAGAGACAAGCAGATAAAGCAATTGGCGTCTTTTTGTTTAAAGTGATCGACTCCAATAACAGTGGCAAAATTAATAAAAAAGAACTCGCTAAATTCTTAAAACTCATCGGAACTACTAAAAAGGAAGATATTGACAAGTTCATGAAAATCATCGACACAGACAACTCAAATAAAATCTCGATGACTGAGTTCTTGGAATGGTACGTCTCATCTTGAAAATCTTCTCTTATCTTAATTAGCTCTTTCTTGGATTCAATCTGTATGTTTATGGGGGAATTCATCATTCGATACTATAGTTTATAATATATTTTATAATATCATAATGATTTAATTATCGTTTTGTTGTTAGTATTGGTATAATATAACAATATTATTTATTATTATAATTAACATTATGTTATAATATATTATGTGAAATGAACTATTATATTATTATAAACAATATTATTATATAATATATTTTTTATATGTTGAAAACCAAATTATGATTATTTTAATTAGAACTACATTTTACTTACAAAGAAAATGACACTATATATCAAAATTTGTGCTCTGATAAAAAATGCAAGATTTTTGATAAACTAGAAATATAGTATAAAACAATTAATAGTAAAAAGGTGATGGAACGAATGAAAACTTAAAACCCAAAATGGAGGGGATAACAACGTGGGTTAAAGAGCATGGCGGCCATATTGATGGAGTCTATGTGAAGAACTTTCCTGTGTATGGGAATGGACTCTGTTCATCAAAAGAATTTCACGAAGGAGATACTTTACTGAGTATCCCATATCACCTCCAATTGAATACAATAGAACTCCACAACGTCTTTGAAAGTATGGTACCGGGGTTTGAAGTACCACGTTTGGGGGAAGGCGCTAAGAACAGAGACGACGAAAACAGTGTTGTGTATTTGTATTTGGCGATGAACAAAACGAACGAGAAATGTTTCCACTTTCCGTATATCAATACACTGCCAACAACATTCAGTTGCCCGTTGAGCTACTCTGAGAATGAACTCAAAATGTTGAAAGGGACAAAACTACTTGTCACTGTCGAAAAGACAAAAACATTCTTGAAGAAACTCTCGGATTATTATGAAACACTCACACATCAATATCCAACAAGGTTCCAACAATTTGATGACTTCTATCAAAGACTCGTGTGGGCGCACCAAGTCTTCTGGTCGAGAGCGTTCTTGGTCATTTACCCCGACCCAATTGGCGATGTTGCCTCACTCATACCGTTTGCAGACTTCTCAAACCACAACACAGAAACAAAAGTCACTTACGTATCAAACAGACAGACACAAACATTTTCATTGCAGACCAACGAAAAGGTATTACACTGTGGAGAACAAATTTTTAACAACTACCGAATTCGACCAAATGAAAAGATGCTGTTGGGGTACGGTTTTGTAATATCAGAAAATCCATACGACGAGGTATTGCTCCGCATCAACTTCAAAGAGAGGCACTTTGAGAAGCAAGTTGAGGAGAGTGAAGAGAGTAAGATGGAGGTCGAGAATAAAGAAAATGAGAGGATGGAGGTCGAGGAAGAAGACAATGAGGATGAGATCACCCAAATACTGAAGCGAGAAGGTGTTGATAGGTTTGACTACTATCTCACACGAGAAAAGGAGTTGCCGACAGACCTCCTCAGAGTTCTTCGAATTGTTAATTTATCGTTGGTCGAAGCAAATCAATACTCACAAGCACTTTTAGACTTGAGTTATGTTTCTCCTATTAACGAAATAAAAGCAACACGAAGTTTAATGGAGCAAATCAAACATCTCTTGGGGTTGATGGAATATAGCGACGACGAGTTTGCACAACTGAACACCAAAAACTTGGACTACAAAGTCTTCTGTATTTTGACGTATAAACTTGGCCAAGTGACGATATTGAAAAACAGTCTTTTGTTGTGTCGCTCGAAGATTGGAGCTGAACTTCAAAAAGTGTCACAAAACGGATTGAGTCGTGCAACGGAAACACTTTCATTTTCGTGTGACGACTTTTTGTTTGAAAACTTCGTGGACAACTTAAACACGTGGCTACACGCTTCTAATACACTCAACTCCTCTGTGTCATACGTCTGTGAAAACCACACCATTAAATTGAGAAATCAAGTTCGTTTGCTCGAAGAAAACGAGGAGGTACTCACAGTGCCTCTAAGTAATCTGATCACCGAAGAAAACATTAAAATGTGGGTGCCAAGTATCAAACAGGAAGGGTTTACGCTGTGCTGTGTTGAATTTTTCTTCACAGATGTTGGACAACAGAGGTTACCATACGTTCCTTTGTTATTGAAATATATCGAGTCAATGACATTCTACTCAAACGACTTCAAAGAAATAGAGGAGAGTTATATCATGGACGAAATGAACTGTGTGGAGGATGACGGGATTGCAATGTATCAGCAATTTATTAGTCGTACAAGGAAGACGGTTCCAGTCTCTTTGTTTGTTGGGCTGTACAATTACGTCGACAGCCATACCGCGTTTCTGGATGAAACGTGTGCACTGATACCACTTCCTATCCTCCCGAAACAAAACCCCTGTTACGCACTTTGTAAGGAAAAAACGGAGAAGTGTTTTGTTGAGAAAGTACCAATGAGTGTCAAAGTGGGAGAAGACATCTGCGATGACTTTGGAGACGACAGCTCAGTCAACCAAATTGTCCATTTTCTTCGATGGACAAATGAGTTTGAGGATATGGACTATTTTGAGGCGAAGAGTTACGTGGAGAGAGAAGAAGCCGAGGCGGTGTATAGGGAGATGTGCTCGAAAAACCGAGTCCCTCATGAAATCTTTTTGACTCAAGACCAAACCAATTTTGACGTCTTTGAACTGTATGTTGCAATCCATTCCATTCCATTCAAGAAATTATTGAATTTGATGCAAAGTGGGAAACAAGTTGAGGTGGATCATAAGAAGACGCTGGAGTATATTGGCAACGAGTTAGAAGTCATTGATGATGCACTCCAATCTCTCAACCAAAAACTTCATCTCGCAAAGGAACACAATGCAGTCAACAAAATTGTTCAAATAAATATGCTCCTCCTTCACTTCCAATCACAGAAAAGAATACTAGAAAATGCGAAGAAACACATTGAAGTGAAATGAATTGAATGATATGACCATTTACTCTGTTAACCCTTCCAATACCAGAAATATGATTGTAATAACACGCATACAGATCAATATAAACTTAAATCTACAAACAAAAAGGTATTCCAAATATAATTATATTAAGCTTCAATATCATATTTTTAAGTTCTGGTTTGATGTAACATTTATAATATATAAAAAGTTTCCACTTTTTATTATTTGTATGTTATATAAATTAAAAGTCCAACACTGTTTGATCACACAAATTGGTTATAAAATATATTTTATAATAATGTAAAGTAATGTTTAAAAACGAGAAAAACGAAAAAAAAATTTAAAAAATTTAAAAAAATAAAAATTTTTCAAATTTCAATAAAATATACCGTTTTTTTATTGTACAGTTAAGCCATTAAACCTTAGCCTAGCAAATTAACCTTAGCCCAAAGAAAAATTAATTATTTTTTATTGTTATATTAAACTAATTTATAAAACAATAAAAAGTCAATTTTCTAAAATATTTGTTTTTTTTAGTAAAAACCCGTGTTTTTTAAGAAAAATATACTAATTTCTTTGGGCTAAAGTACAATTCCTATGCTAAGGTTCATTTTCCCTACTGGAGTAGAATTATATTATTGATAGTTAACATATTTAAATATTATAATAAATATTATTAATAATATAATTCAAAGATTTTTTTGACCAAAAAATAAAAAAATATATTTTTATTGTAATTTATGCTACAATTATATAATAAAAAATATATTATATCATAATAAAATAATATAGTAAAATTATAGTATATGAAATAATATTTAATTGTATTTTAAAATAGTTTAATTTGTAATTTATTTTTTGATTTTTTTAGTTTAAATAATTTGAAAAAGAATAAAATGAAACGTCAAAGTGTTTTCAACAAAGTAAATTGTAATACAATTAAAGAAATACATTTATTTCCTTAACATGAAATTGACATCAAGTCTTGAAGTCAACACACTGTAAGAACTTAGAAGATCAAATGAACAAGGGGAAATTGTGGGCAGAGTTTTTTGGAGTCAACGATCCCATCCACATTTATAATTATGCAATTAAATTTGGACCACTGGCTTCTTTTAAAATATGTGAGAAGAAGTCAGACTCATACATATTCAAAATAGTATTTGAGAATGAAGAGGATATCGACTTCATGCTTCGTCAAAGCAGTCCTCATGAGTTTTTTAATTATATTAAAGTCCTGAAAAGGGATGGAAGAAAATTTGGATCCTTTGAAGATGAGACCTTTTCAAAAAAATTTTCAAAAAAATTCAACACCCGTTTTGAAAACAATATAACTTATTTTTAAATTTTGGTTACATTTGAGTTGTGTTGAACATAGGAGAATTTCTTGATTCAAAAATAAAATGATATTTTATATTGATATTATTTTTCAATTATTGTTTCCTTGCTTTGTAAACTTAGACCGTATATTCACAAAAATAAATATATAATATCAAAACATACCTTATATCTTTTTAAAAATATCAAAATATTTTATGAAGGTTTATTATTTGTAGTTATTTATTTCCATAGTTTTTTAAATCACAGTAATCAATGTAAATGCATTATTTAATTTATTACACTATAAAATTTAACAACAGACATTTAAGACATTCTGTTTTGAAATTATGTTGATGCTAAATATTTCCAAATTGATAATTTCGATATAAGAAATTAAGTTAGTTATATTTTATCATTCTAATCCAATGATTAAACTTATTATTGTACAAAAAATATTGACGAACATTTGTTGTTTTGTTTATTTATTATAATAGTTCAAAGAAAAAGAAACAACAACACAACAATAATAAAATTGTTAAAAACAACCAACCACATAAAAACAATTCAAATTTTAACACAAAAGACAACACAAAAGTTTTCATACAACTTTACACATCACAAGAACAAGCAAAGCGATTACTGTCAACTAATAAACAATCACAAATTTATAATTTACTTTTTTATTGAAAAATATTATCTTCAAAAACTTGATTATTGAATTATTTTAACAATCATTAATTAAGCACAATAAAATAACAAGGCAATCAATCAATAATAATCAAACAACACTTTCTTCTTCGTATTTTTCATTTTATGTTTTGTATAGGGGTCATATAAATTGGTTGTTTTCCATCAATTAGTTGAAGATTTTGGTAGAACTTCGAGAACATAAAAATGTAATTTTTATTGAATAATTACGATATATTGCTTTCCATTAAAAAAGGAAAAACCTAATCTGCACTTTTGAGAAACGGTACAAAATATTAAAACGTTCTAATTATATAAACAATTTGAACTATTTATAATAATAGATAAATATAAATAATCTATATTTAAATACAATAAAAATAGAATAACAATAAAACATCAAGAAAAACAATCATTAAATAGACTTTCTTAATCAGTGATACTGTTATAATAATCGACAGTGGAAAAAAGAATCCTCTCAATCTACGATTCGTGGAAGGCAAAAGACCGTCTTTAAACAATATACGGTGCCTTCAAGCAATCAAAAATAACTTTACAGTCTGCTATTTTCGACAAACTTATTGTCCGTATCGTCATGACAGAGTTATTGTCCGTATCATTTACAGACATTGATTGTTTTTTTGTTTATTTAGTTTCATTCACAGTTCAACTCTTACTTTTTAATTAATATTAAATGGTTTCATTTTCAATATTTTTTACATGATTTATTGTAAAAATATAATTTTTTCGTATCAACATTTAAAATACATGAAAATATGTGATTTAAAAATATTTCACAATAATTAAAAAAAATAATCAATAAAATTTTAAAATCGAATGACTAAAATACAATATACAATATATAAAATATAATATTGTATTTTTATACACGTGTAAATAAACGTTTATTTTTACAATTCAAAATTAACACTGATTTGTATTTTTCAAGTTAAAAAACATTTACAATTTGGTGTTTTGCAATATTTCAAAAAGCATTATTTTACATGTTTTGAATTTAAGTGTCTGGTGTTTTACAATCTACGTTTCAAAAAATAAAGAAATACGAATCTTGATTTAAAAATAATATTTTAAGAGCAAAATCAATACATTTTTATTTTTAAATAAAAACACGATTTAAAAATCTTTTTAGGATTTTTTCATTTGTGAAAGTTTTCGTTTTAAACTTAAATAACAATTGAATATAAACTATACATTGAGTTTTTGATGTTTGTAAACAAAAATAATTTTACAATGATGATTGAAATATATATTTTGGGGAAAATTAAATGATAAAATGTTAATATATTATTAATTGTTATATTAAAAATTAGTTACTTTGTTTAGAAACACGAATTATTGATAAAAAGAAACAAGTTCTTTAATTATTTCTTTCGCTTTTCCAACCTCG